AAATTGATGAAAAAAACAACATTTTCTAGAAAATTTCCCGTGAATTTACCCAAATACGACTTTTTTTTTTACTTTTTTGATGCGTTAACGGCGTGATTCAAGTTTATTAAAAACTATCGATAGCAGTAACAACAGATATATCAACAATTACCTAACTGTAAAACTCAAAATCCAATAATTCGAAATTGTTTAAAAAAATTAAAGAAATGTAAAGATAATGAAAAAGTTCAAAAGAAAAACTATAAAGTTATCTGAATACATTATAATAGGTCAATGTAAAGTATAAAATCTTGTTTTTGATATCATATTGAATGATAATGAGATGAATGACATATTTATTAAATTAATTATGAATTTATCTGACATTGTCTCATCAAAATGACTCTACCAACATCAAATAAGTGAGCTTTGCAATAGATTCATACTATGTACATGCCGTACTATCAGAAACATCTTGAATCGATTCATTTGTATAAACTCTTTGATTTTTACAGTAACCTGGTCTTGTAAATGTCTGTGTTACATATGCAGTAGAAATTCTTGGAATTTCCTCTAGTTTTCTAATATTGGATTATAGATGTAACTTTTCTTTTTCTTATAAACAAAAGAGCTTTATATGATAAAAAAATTAACATGACTAACATATATTTTATATCTCTTGTTAAACTAATATATGCTATTGCCATAGAAAGAACGAATTATGATACAACAATTTGCAAATAGAAGTTTATTATTATTATTATAAATTTTTACTTTGTCAAATTTTCGCATTGAGAAATGCATATTTTATTCTTTTTTTCTTCTCTATAACATACTCAAACAATCTATCGAATAAACACAATAAAATAAAAGAGAATAGAAACCCAACTGTTGCGTGAACATATTGACATTACTGCCATAAGAGAGTTTTTTTTGCTTTTTCTTTTCTTTTGCATCTCTATCGTCTCAAAATAATGACTCTTTAATGCCAAGAAAATAATACAAGACAACAGAATAACACCGTATTTCATTATAAACCGACCACTTTTATATGCTTGGGTTAAGGCACCCATATTCATAGAGTTATCTAGTATAACTGTTCATCGACACAAATATCAATGTCTCTTTTTCAATCAAAACAAAAAGAAGAATTAATTAATTCACTGAATCAACATCAAGAACTATTACTTATCTCTGATAATCAGCCAATAAAAAAGTCAGAACCTTTTCCATTTTGAAAATGGTAAGTTATTAAAAATATTTTAGTGTTATATGTATGAATATCATGTTAATCTTCATTCTATATGCATATATATATATGTGTTCTTTTTTGTAGTCACATCTGTCATGATACAGCTACTGGGGTTCATTATGGTGTGATTACATGTGAAGGATGTAAAGTACGTTTCTTGTTTACTGTTATATGTGTAATTATAGTATGTCTTTAGGGATTTTTCAAACGATCAATAACTCAATGTATTTCAAATCAATGTTTATTTGGTAATAAATGCATAGTTACAACAGGAACACGTAATCGATGTAAATCGTGTCAGTTTAATCGATATGAGTGTGGGTGTGGGTGTGGATGTTGGCGTGGGCGTGGATGTAGGGGTTTAGTTATTAACACAGCTCACACCCACACCCCTAACTAATATTTAGCATAATACAATGTTTCAAATTATTATAAAATGATAATAATTATTGCGATTATTTTAAAAATTTCATAATTTAATAATCATGTTCATTAGTTGGGAATATGACTTTATTATTTGACAGAAATACAATTGATTAACTAATATACATCAATAGACAGGTTAATATCATCTCAATAAAGAATTATTGTACTAATCTTTTCCATAAATATAAAAACCACACATTTGAAAATATCTTTAAAATTGTTAATGCATGACATTCTCAAGCATACATTTATAGAAGTTTTGACGACGAAGGAATTTTAGTGTTTCGATAAACTCAAAAAAATAATTGAGTACATGATTAAATTTTGATTTTAGCAGAAATTTTGATTATAGCAATTTAAAAATAATTAACAAGTATATGATATATTTCTTACGGATATAATCAATCACGAAAATATGCTTATTGAATTAAAAATATAAATACAAACGAAATTTTTTTTTTCTTTTTAAATCTTCTCAAAGTTTGTTGACTATTGCATGTTGGTTTATTTGCACATACTTTCATAGTATTATTGTATTTGAAAATTTAATTCGATTCAACTTTCAATTGTTTATATTTCAATGACATCGAAAGTAAAAAGATTTAAGCTGGATGTCTCGTTTATGTTTAAGAAAAAAAAATTTATTTTCATCATATTAAGTATATGAGACATTTTCATTGTATTTGAGCATGTTTATGCAGGATGTGAGTGTCGGTATTGCGTTCTTCCCATCCTCACCCACACCCACATTAAAAGTAGATTCTTTGCTGCGTGACTTTGATAGAATTTGGTTGAAAATCTTTGAAGTTTTCATCTGCGATTTGTGCAGTGTGGAATCTGTTTTTTATGTGTAATCACGATTTCTGAGCACCCTCAGCAGATGGATATATGCTGTGTATGTTATAAAGCTTTTCGTGGCATCCTCATCCTCAGGAAAGGATGCGCGTGTGATTCCATGACAGATGCTTCTCGGACAGATGTTCCATCCACAGTTGCTCCCCAACGATATTTGCTTCTGAGGCCCAAATCAAGCCCCAATCAAAACGGAAACTCATTCTCTGTCTCACTGTTATGTTCTACTTTTATTATACTTGTTTTAAGGGCAAATCATGGGTTCGAATATGTAGAACATAAACATTTGTTTATTTCTTAAACTTAAAGAATCACCCTTGTACATAATATCACATGCATATATATATCAAAGAAGAAGAAAGAAAAGAGAATAGATGAACAATACATATCTAGATGTCATGACATAACACTCACCCTCACCATCATATACCATCGAGCAAGCAATTTATTAATAATTAGTATCTCTTTTGCGTGTTTTTTATGGATATTATTGATTAAGGAATAAATTTCGTTTCGAATGATTTTTGAGAGTGAATAGATTGGAGGTGAGTGAGTGCGGATGATAGATATTATATTCATCTCACAATGATACTCATACATCCTAACGTTCACCCTCCGCAATCATGACCAATATAGATAAAACACTGTCAACAAACACATATACATATGTTGTAGGCAAGATTGGAATTCTAATAAAACAAGCATCTTGAGTGTGACTGCGAATAATGGCTATGGCATCCACAAATATCTCAGACTCAAATATATTCATAAATTATACTCGCTGAGATGTCAATGAACTAGAATAAAGAATATACACATATCATTCATGAATTTATTTTTCATAAAGATTTTAATAATGTATCTTTATTTGAAATAAACATAATTGTAAATATCACAAGAAATGAAAAAATCAGTTGCATCGAACATAATTACCAACTTTACTGTTTATTAATATCTGAATGAATTTACCTTAATGTTTCATGAAAACGAATTAACAAGATGAAGCTTTATCATTCTCAGTTGAATTGTTGATTTTATTGCTATCAAAAAAAAAATGGATTTCTTTTCTTGTTGGACTAAATGATTTTCAACGTATAATTCGAACAATTTTTTTTCACATTATATGCTTTCATATTTCTAATTATCGATTTAAAATCATGACCATCGAAAATGAACATAAATGTATCGTTGTATAATAATAAAAGATAGATTGAATACAATTATATTAATTTGATGAGGTGAGTATGGGTTTGACAGGCGATCATAATTACCTCCATCCACATAGGAACTCACATTCACAAATATATATCGAGGGGAGAGAAGAGCAGACAAACTAAAACAAACAATAGTATGCAGAGAATAATAATAATAAAAAAGGGCAAGAGGAAGAGTGAACATAACGATGCAGCGGTCATCGCACGTCTAAGCAGGCAAAAGGTTAGACAATGTGTTCGATAAGATTGCTTCCATTATTGATACACTAGAATGGACGCCAAAAGTGTCGTCGCGCTGTTGTATGGTCCAGAATGCGTATTATATATAAACGTACATCTGTTTAAATCGGAAAATATTTAAATCTAAAATACATGCACAAAAAAACAAACGTCAGTGGTAAGAAAAAAATGACATAAAAAATTGTTAGTTTATGATAAATGATGATAATTTAATGAAAATGGATAATCTTTACATCCACCTTATTCATATGTAATGGTAGATATTTGCTTTACATAATATAAAATCCACCATGTAATATTTTAGTACACTACGTATAATTCATTAAAAATAGTACTTCACTTTTAGAAATTCGAATAACAAAAATAAAAACTTTTTCGAAAGTGACATTTCTACAGCGTTTCGTGAAATGTGTGATCTAAAAATTTAGAAAACATTCTATCTGTTTTATGACAATTTTTTCCTAACACGGAAGATGTTTAAGAATTTTTTTATTTTAAAAAAGATATATAAATATAGTACTCAATCTCTACTATGGTGATTCTGTAGTTTTAATACATGATCCAAAGCAAAAAAGTATTTTGCAAGACTTTAGACGTGCATTCTATATTCAAAGTACATCAGAAGCTTTCAACTATGGTCTTAAAATCATCAGTGAGTGAAGTGTTGTTGTATAGATTAGATAACATGGAAAATTTAAATGACATTCTAAACTTTTTAATAAATGAAAAACTTTGATGTCCGACAGAAACTAAACTATAGATGGGTAAGTCAAGTCACCAGTCACTTGACTTGACTCGACTTGAGAATTTTTACGAAATGATTTGACTTAACTTTTTATCTACGATCAATTCCAAAAATCTATACAAATATAAGTCTTTATTGCACTCCAATTTTGTTTTCTATAGTTTGAAATGTATTAGAAAAATAGAAATTAAGATAGTAAACATTTTCATAGTAATTTGAGTCAAAAAGTCACTGCTTGTCCATCTCTCAACTAAACATAAGTGTTCTTATTCTCTTTAGTTTGAATTCAAGAATGATTACAAAATTTGAACAATTATCAAATGAATTAATATTAATTTGTTTTTCATATTTCGATTTCTATGAATTATATGATCTATTCTTTAGTTTAAATCAACGTTTTAATCAATTAATTCAATATCAAATAAAAATACACATTAATTTATCTTCAATTCCATCTAGAAAATTTTTTACATTTTTTTTTCACTTAAATCGATTCATGACAACAACTCAAAACTATCCATTATCAATTATAGCTAATGATAAATGCGAACTTAATTTAATATTACAAGATGATTTGTTTAAAGAAAAATTTTCTAAGTTAAAATCATTAACATTAACAAATATAGATGTTAAAGCTATCTATTCTATAATATTTGAAAAAAAAGTAGAATTATATAATAGTTTAGAACGATTAACCTTACTAGAAATGGATCGTACAGCAGATGGTGGAGGATTTGCAATAGAAAGTAAGAATAACAATTTCAATTTGATTAAGAGATAGAAAAAAAGAATTTTCAATATTAGATTTATGTGATAGTTTAATATCATCAGAAATGAAAATGTTAAAATATTTGAAATTAAATTTTCAAAGATTTTGGTGCAGATGTCGACGTTGTTCGTTCGATCATGACCATATTACTTATTTATATTTTAATGTATTAACAGATAGAGAAGAAAAACCATTAAGTTCTTTAGAGACAATTATTATTGGAAGTAAGTTATTTTAATTCTAGAACTCAAACTGAGATTATGTCCAATCACAAATTTGGGATTGGATCTTATCTCAGTTTGACCGTTGATATTTCTATAACTTATATCTATAGATATTTCTGATGATGATTATTGCTATTCCAATACAACAGTATGCTTTTATTCATTGATTACAGATTTATTACCATGTCTATCAAAATTAAAAAAATTAATTATTAATTCGATTCATTTCGAAGATTATGACTATAAACAAAATCACAAAGTATGTGAAAAGTCTTATTAGATTTCTTCAGTGATCTTTTCAAATCTGTATCAAGTAGTCGCACGAAGAAAACGAGATGATCTTATAAGAGTGAAATAGCGTCTGCCATGATCGAATTTATCAGATAGAGTTTCGATACAAATTGTTAGAAAGAAACTTTCTATTAAATTTATTTATAATAGGAATTATCGATCACAGCAGCGACGACAATTTTACCATTAAATTTAAAAGTAATTAAAATCTGGATTAAAAGATATGCTGACCATCGAAATGATGAGGAAATGTATATAAATATAATACAAAATTTCTTTACAAATAACAATTCATCTGATATGTCAACAATTAAAATATTTACTATTAACAATAAAAATGTTTTATAGAACTTCATCTGTTTTAAACTTTTGACTTTTTGGTCTTTTTATTATGAAGAAACAAATCTTGAAATATTCTTTGTATATATTATAGAATAAAGGAGAAAAATAAATAAAACATTTGCTACTCTTCTTATCTATGAAATTCATTTCCAAATAATGGTCAACTAGTTCGTTTTCAAAAATGACTGTTTCCTAATGACTAAATTGAGAGAAAGTTAAGGATCTTCTTCTTGTGAAAATCAATATTTGTTGATTGCTTTTTATTTTCATGTGCGTTTCAATTTTAGTTTTTGTAGTATTGTTTGCTTCAATAACTCGAACACAAAAGAGAAAAAAACCGATCCTAGTAGCTTGTAGAACTCATCCGAATCTTGAGAGTGTGGGTGTGGGTCTTGATCTAAACATCCAGCCACACCCACACCCATTCTTTTTATTCATAGGAATTATTATTTCACTTTTCAATATTTTATCAGAATAAAAATACATAGAGAATCATGAACAATTGCGAGAAATTCTACTCAGAAAACGATTTCTACTATCAATTGGCAATGTCTTTCTTATTTGAACATTGAAAAATCTATTACTGATAAGTCTATATCCAGAACCGAGATTTATCACAATCAATAAATGTCAATCATGTATCTGTATTGATTCGTGTGAAATATGAGTGAGATCTATATTAATATAATTATTATTTTTCTAGTTTATGATTGACGTAGAAAAATCTCAACGTTATATTTTTACAGTAAATATTCATTGAAAATAATACGATTTAAATACTTGAGTTATTGTCAATATTCAGGAAGATGTAGCTCAATAATTAAATATTAAAAAGATTAATGATCTATTTGACAAATCAAAATTTAGTTTAAATTTTAGAGATCAATTTAATCAACATACTCTTTTATATAGAGGATGGTGTGTGGATGTGCGGCTAGTAATATGGGTAAAGATAATATCTTAAGTCACACCCACACCCACACCCTCTCCTGTCATGTTCATCAACATCGACATGAATTAAGTTTACATATCATTTCTTAATTGCTGCCTTCCAAAAGATATAACTTCATGTGCAATCTTGTTCCTTCCCATATCGTATTCGTAAAGTCAAAATGTTCGTTCTACGAATAGAGGAGCACACTGATCTTCATCAAAAACTCTCTTAATTCGATAGATTTTGCACGACGGATGTATCCAATAGTATGATTCAGACTCTGAGAATTTCAAGTATGATGTTGCATTAAAATATATCAGTGTCAGGGTTTTTTTATTATAGTTCTCATGGCTGCTGAGTTGTCTGAAAAGAGAAAATGCATTTCTTTGATCAATATGTGTCTCTATATTCGAATTCATTCCATTTTTTAAAGTCTAAATCTGTAGAGTTCTGATCATCTCTAATGTTAAAGTAGAAATTGAAATCTTTATGTAAGTTCAATGCTACAAAACATAACAAAATTCATCTGTGCTTAATGTAAAGCGAATGATTGTAACTGAAATGAAAATCCAATAGACTTGAGGGTGTGGGTGGCTTGATCTGGAGCTTGACGCCTGTGTTCCTTTCATCCACACCCACATCCATCCCACACATCCACACACCCACACCCACATGATGATGTTGTGAATGTTTGTTCAAATAGTTCTTTCTTCATAGAAACTAGAACTCCCGAGACTCTATCCTTACACTATAATCCATAACCTACCTAGTCTCATTCTGTACATGATTCACCATGATATTCATTGAATTACCCAACGTTTTACAGCATCTATATATTCTTAAGAAATGATTTTTACTGCCGAAGAATCGTGATTGATAATTTTATTAACAAATAGATCAAGTTAATTAATCATAAACAAAAAGTTCTGAATTAGTTCAATAGCATGTTTATTAAGATTGTTAATTACTAAGAAATCGTGCAATGCGTACCATTGGATCAGTATAATTTTTCTTCATCCATGACATTGTATATACCATAATACTATTGACTCGGCGACTTTGTCCAGCAATTAAGATTGAAGAAACGGCAAGTAGCTGATTACGAACTTGACTTATTTCGTAGAATTTATTAGAACTATTTCCACATAATCCAGGATTATGGAAGAATACTTTGTTGTTAAGGACATCTGGACTGAAAACATAACAAATACCGATCAGTTGTCGAACATCATCAGCATCTAAATATCTCCAATTACGATAATTAGCTAATCGACGCATTTGTGGAGTCATGTTACATTCGATGGCACTGCATGTGCAACTAAAATAATACATCAACCTAGCTATGTCATTATCTGGAACGTTCACTGTTTGACCAACATCTTTGATACCAATTTGATTCCGTTGGAATACAGCCATTTATGAGAATTGATTTGGTTTCTGCAAGTAACCAAAAAAAATTCTAAAAGGACTAATACAACTATTACCAATTTTCTATATAAGTATATATATTAGAGTTTTCTTCCTAGATGAATTTACTTCCTACTATGAAATATTTTTTCCAACAGAATAAACTATCAATGCGCATTGAAAGCGGACAGAACTTTCATGTCTTCCATATTTCTTCTTCGTGTTGGAAAGATTTCACTTTCAAAACTATTCGTTCTTATGTACATTTTACTACGAAAATATTCACGATTCTCAAGTAGATGACGTCAAGTTTATTGGCAAATACCTCAAGCATAATCACCAGGTTGGATAAAAGTAAATATTAAGAGTGTGGGTGTGTGAATGTGCATGCCGACTAGAGTCTGCTTGTTTGAATAATTATCCGCAGCCATTCTTCACATTATACAAACATAACTATTCAGGGTCGCTTCGTATAGAAGAGTGTGGGTGTGGATGTGGATGTACTTGTAAAGAACACTCACACCCACACTCACATGTGTTTTATGAGCAATATCAATTGACATTTTTAACTGTATTTTATGTCCTCTGAACATCAAAAATAGCAACAACAGAAATAGCCTTGCTTGACCGGTTTTGAAGCCTGATCAAGGTCCATAGCATAGGTACAGCCTTTCGGGTATATTTGTTGAAAAAAACTATCATGAATAATATACAGAAAATCAAAGATGTTGAATAAATGAAATAAAGAGATATTGAAAATGAATTTAAATAAAATGATCAAAACGAAATGATTCGATAAATAATAACTAAAGGAAATGAAAACAAGATGAAAAAGATAGTTAAAGCATCAAGGATAGATGATAAATATTCTAGTTTAAAAAAGATATGAAGAATCTGAAAAAAATATTAATCTCCAATGAAATAAAGCCTTAGATGAAAAGTTAAGAAGGGTGTGGGTGTGGGTGTTGATTTTGTTGTGGGTATGAAAGAAGAAAAATACAACACCTGTACACACCCTCATA